TGTGTGAGTGGGAGAGAGTCAGAGAGGGAGACAGAGGATCTGAAGCAGGCTCTGTGCTGACAGCAGAGCACGTAATGTGGGGCTTGAGCTCACATGCAAGATCATGACCTGAGCCAAAGTCAGACACTTAACCAACTGACACTCAGGAGCCCCTAGAGCAGTGTTCTTGGTGGAAACATCAGAAAGGTGGTTTGGAATGCCCAGGGACCTGAATGACAGTGAAAGCAGCTAGTAAAAGTATAGCATCTAATAATTGTATGGCACATAATAAGCCTCACTGTTTCTGTAGCAGTCCAAAGTCATGAGCCACTCCAAAGGCATATCTACTGTCAGTATAAATATTTGCAGTTTGCCCTTGGCTAAATGTAGGCCTCAGTTAGAGTACAATTCGGCCTGCTGGGCTGAAGTAGCCAAAGGCAATGGTGCTACCCAAATAACTTTAAAAGGAGTTGCAGTTGTATAGCTAGCACAATGTATATCATTTTCACCTTTTAAAAAGAAGCATCAGTAAACCGTGAAAGGTTAGCATTATTCAGAGCAGTTTCTTGTAGGTCACCGTGGGGGTCAGAAGGCAATTTGTCGGTATTAAGCAGTCGTGACAGGTTTCGTCAGTGGAAGAAGGGAGATGAAATAGCAGGGTTAAGGTTATTACGGTGAGGAAGAATCTTGGGAGAAGTGGTTAGCAAAAAGATTTTACAGGAGGCAAGAGGACTAGATGAAAGGTGTTGAGTATGGTGAGAATTTAGAAAGCTTCTACCATGTGGAGTACAAGAATAGTTGTAGGGGAGGAATCTCATGATTATTTCTTCAGTGGCCTTGACTGAAAGGACTGTGGCAGAAATGGCTGAGACAAGGAGAGGTACCCTTGTACCATAGGGTCTAGCTGTTGGCTAGAATACTGTTTGGGTCAACAGTGGGCCCCATGTTTTTGGGTGAGTACCATAAGAGCATTCCCTTCCTTTTAACATAGAAGAGAAGTTGATAATTGGGATGTCCAAGGGAAGAGGGATTTATTAAGCTTTCCTAAGACTTTAAGTCATCTTAGTCTTCTTAAATAATACGGTCAGGTTTATAGATTTTAGTAAAACTTATAGGGATGGGCCACAAGAGAGAAGTCTGGACAATTTCTACAGTCAGTCGCTAACTAGCTCCAAAAATCTCATTGTTGGTATTTGGTTTTTGGTTTTTGGTTAAGTTCAAGATGACATGAAGCCTATTTGGATCTAAATGTAGTCCTTATTCCATAATCAGGTGCCCTATATATCAAACCTGAGTTTGAACAAACGACAATTTCTTCTTGGAGACTTTATGTCCCTTTAAGGCCAAAAGCTTTAACAAATGGATGCTGTCCACCTGTGAAGAGGCTTGAGCAAGGATCAGAGAAGCAAGTCATCTACCTATTGTAATAGGGCATAACCTCCAGGAAATTTTAGGTCATCTAGATCAGCCTTCAAGGTTTGTCAAAAGGAAAACGTTTCACATGAAAATATGCTCAACATCACTCATCATCAGGGCACAGTAAGATACAATCTCACACCTGTCAGAATGGCTAAAATTAACAACCAAGGACACAACAGATGTTGGCAAGGATGTGGACAAAGGGGAACCCTTTTGCACTGCTGGTGGGAATGCAAACTAGTACAACCACTCTGGAAAACAGTATGGAGGCTCCTCAAAAAATTAAAAATAGAGCTACCCTAAGACCCAGCAATTGCACTGCTAGGTATTTATCCAAAGGATATAAAAATGCTGATTCAAAGGGGCAATGTTTATAGCAGCACTATCAACAACAGCCAAATTATGGAAAGCGCCCAAAAGTCCATCGAATGACAAATGGATAAAGAAGATGTGGTATCTATCTATCTATCTATCTATCTATCTATCTATCTATAGATAGATACCTACACGTCTATACACATGTATATATATACATACACACACACAGTGGAATATTACTTGGTGATCAAAAAGAATGAAATCTTGCCATTTGCAACAATGTGAATGGAACTAGAGTGTATTATGCTAAGCGAAATAAGTCAGAGAAAGATAAATACCGTATGATCTCACTCATATGTGGAATTTAAGAGACAAAATAGATGAATATAGGATAAGGAAAGGAAAAATAAAATAAAAAACAGGAAGGCAAACCTTAAAAGATTCTTACAGAGAACAAACTGAGGATTGCTGGAGGGGTGTTGGGTGGGGTGGTGGGCTAAATGGGTGACAGGTATTAAGAAGGGCAATTGTTAGGATGAGTACTGGGTGTTATACGTCAGTGATGAATCACTAAATTCTCCTCCTGAAACCATTACTACATTATATGCTAACTAACTTAGATTTAAATAAAAGGTTTTTTAAAAAAGGAAGAAGAGGTTTCAATTGTTGTTCTTCCCAAGTAAGGCACAGATACTAGCTGGCCTAATGCACTGGGATGCTAAAGAAGGCACTACATAAATCAACCACAGTAAAAAAAAAAAAAAAAAAAAAAAAAAAAAAAAAAAAAAAAAAAATGCCATTTCAGCAGGGATGGAGCTAATAAAGTATGGGGATTGGTAACAACAGGGTGGTGAAGGATGACAACACTATGCCTCAGAGGTCCTGCACAAATCTCCACCTGCAGCCATTCAGTAGCATGAATGAGTCAGTAGTCTATCTAAGTGATAGCAAGGTCCACAGGCATCATAAAGTAAAAGGAAACTAATGGCTAAGAACACCACCAGTTATTATTTATATTCAAGCCAAAGACACACTTTTTCATGGATTTTTACGGAAAGAGCACTGTGTAATATGCAGAATATTTATGAACAGACATCTTAAACTGAAATAGTTATGAGTTTGATAGGGATGCTTATTAAAAATGTCCCTCACTAGGAAACTTTCTCTGACTACATCTTCAGAGGTTGAGTGAGTTGATTTTTGTAAAGGATCAAAAAGTCACTTTGGCTAACGGTGGAGGTAGAGGTGGGGGTTTGACTGGAAAAGGGCACAAGGGGACTCTCTGGAGTAATGAAAATATTTTGTATCTTGATTATGGTTATAAATATAAACTCATTGAACAGCACACCAAATAAGTGCATTTCACTACATGTAAATTGTATCTCAGTTGAAAACAAAAACAAAAACTCTCAGTCTGGGTAGTTATAGCCAGAAAGATATAGCATAGAAAATTAAAGACATAGCAAATTAAAATTTTGGTGTATAGACTTCATACATATGGTGATTCTAATTCTTTTCAAAAGTGGCATTAACTTATTCAAACAAAAATACTGTTAGTTTTTCTTTGCTTTTATTTACTATCAGGATTCAAAACTTCTAAACTGCTACCAAATAAATGATGAATTTACATTAACTTAATCCTGGGGCACCTGCGTAGCTCAGTACCTTGAGCATCTATCTGACTTTGGCTCAGGTCATGATCTCACAGTTGGGCTCATGAGTTCAAACCCCACAGCCCACTGCTCAGAGACTGCTTGGGATCCGCTGTCCCCTTTCTCTCTGCCCTTCCCCCTGTTGCGCTTTCTCAAAAAAAAAAAAAAAAAAAAAAAAGAAATCTAAAAAATTATAAAAAATATAAAAATAAAATTAATCCTTACAACCACCATAAGAAGTAGATGCTATTATTTTCCTGTTTTATGGGATGGGCTCAGAACCCCGACAAAAGCCTTGCACTCCGTACCCTTTCCCCAGTACTTGGTCACACACTGGCTCACCAGAACCCAGAAGAGCTGGTCAGAGGAAAGGCCGAAGCGTCATTAAGGGGCTACAGGTGAGTTATGGACACTCGGATTGAGAGTCTGGTTCCCTGAGCCCTGACATTCCGAAATGCCAGGCTCTACCCAGCCCTGTCCCCAGCCCAGGTAGCCAGTGACGCAGGTCCCGTTGCCCCTGTTCGGGCGCAGAAGACCACAGCGCTGCCGGGAAGGCGAGGAGCGGTTGTCCACGGTCTGTTGAACCTGCGCGCGGTTCCCTAGCGCGGCTGCGCGGCTCCGCCCTTGAGCTGGGCGCTCCGCTCGGGGTGGGCCGTGAGTCACCACACACCGGATGCAGCCAGGCCCTCCGCGCACCCTGAACTCTCGGCGCTCGGCCCCTCCCTGATCCCGCGCGCGTTTCAGTACTCGGCGATCAGGTACTCCTCCCCGCCGTCCTCCAGCACCTCAGCCGGCGCCCTCCTCCTGGCAGTGCCCGGGCCTGCCTGCCCTGGGTCCTCCAACTCGTCCTCGGGGACGAGGACCCGCAAGTCCAGCCCAGCGTTCCAAGAGCGCTCGCCTTTCCGGCGGTGAGCAGGTGCCCACCCCGCCCCCCTGCCTGGGCGTTTCCCACCTTCCTCCCCACCAAAGTAAGTAAATAAAACGAAATCAAAAAGGGGAAGACTGCCAGGAAGAAGATGTGCACAGACCGTAGTTTTGAATTTATTCGAATTTATAGTTTGGGGGCGAAGAATATAAATGGCAGAAGAGTTTAAGGAATAACTGTGTTCTGAAAGCAGGAGTGTGACATGTAAATGTTAACATGTACATGTACATGTTAACATTTCCAAGGAAAGAGATGGTCATCGATCCCCCCGCCCCCCAGCTTGCAACGCACAAAAACACACATTCACAAAAAACACACATTCGGGTGGAGCTAGAAGGAATTGCAGAAAAGAAGCTGAGAGCATACCCGGCATTCAAATTTGGTCCTCAAAAGCCAACTAAGCTTAGTCTCTGAAGGTCTCAGCACAAGATGGGACCCTCCACTCTCCTATTTACTGATGGGAAAGTTGAGGTCCAGAGTGGGTGGTTTGTCCAGAGTGATGCACCTGATTCTTGGCAGAGCCAGATCCAGGAGCCTGAACTCCAGTTCCTAGGCATCGTTTATAAATAATAAAATATGTAAATAACATTTTATAAATACCCTTTGTGAGTCGAGAAACTCAGCAAGATCCGTAACTCGGTTTTGGTATGCTCAACCCATCTTCATTATTTACTCTTCTCTAGGTGCTTGCCAGCCTGCATTCCCTGGCCCACAGCAGTGCAACTGAAAGGGGACTCCTGGAAGTCCTAGGACTTGAACATAACCCTGAGTAAAAGGTTTTAGGTAAGTGGAGGGGAGGAAGGGCGTGGTGGGTTCCAGGAAAGAGCTTGAACTGAGGGGGAAGTTAGCAAGCCCAACTGCAGCTAGGCACGTTTAAAAGTGCCTGGCCTATGCGAGTAAAGTAGGTGGATAGAGTAGGGGGCAGATGGTGAAGGGCTTTGAACATGAATGCTGCAGGCAATACGATACAACCAGAAATTGGAAATGCAACTACAGGGAAACCAGCACTTCACCAGGGATTAGATCCATGGAGGGAATCTGAGATCCCAAGACTGTTTAAGTCAAATCATTTAGCAGGAAGACAAAATTAACATATTGCTGTTGAAAGGAACGTGATGGGGAGAAAGTATTCTAGTTGAATAACAGAAAAATCTTTTCCCCTGGTTGCATACGAATAATAAAAATGGTGCTTACTATGTGGTAAACACTGTTGTAGGTGCTTTACAAAAATTTATTTACTTCTCACAATAAACTGGTGAGGTTGTTACTATTTTTGTCACCATTTTAGAGATGTGGAGGCTGAGGCACAAAAAGGTTGCCCAAGGTAGGTAGATCTGTGTTGACGCAGAGTGGCCTGGAACCAGAAGATTCGGGTCTCGGTGCCTCCATTCACTGGTTGTGTCAATTTACCATCTCTGAGCCTCAGTTTTCTTATCTGTGGAATATATACACTAATCCCTGCCTACTACTGAGGTAGAGAATATGCAGGTGCTTTGCAAACTGTGCATTGTGATGCCAGTGGAAAGTACCATTATTTAATAAAGGAGGGATGCACTTCCAAGGCCAAATCCCAACTAAAAAGAAAATGACAAGCTTGGTTCGACTTGCAGAATTTAATGGGCTTGCCACTCAAAGAGAGGCAAAGATGGAATCAGTTAAAATTGTTGGCTGTGGAGTCAGATGGACCTAAGCTGGAATCCCAGTCCTGCCACCTATTAGCTTTGTGACCTAAGACAAGGCACATAACGTTTCTGATACTGTGTTATCTTGATGATCCTCAATTTACTCACGTATAAAATGGGTCTAATACGTTCCTCATAGAGCAGTTGTATTACATGAGATGCACTTCATACAATGCCTACAATTAGTAAGTGCTCAATACAATGTAGAGGGGCCCATTATTTTTTCCAATTCTTTTTCTTCATCCTCTGTATATCTTAATATTCCCCCAGACACCGCCTCATCATGTGTGAGGGACTGATGGAGAGGTATGTGGCTGCCATGGTGCTGAGCGCAGCTGGAGATGCCTTAGGGTACTTCAATGGGAAGTGGGAGTTTCTTCGGGATGGAGAAAAGATTCACCAGCAGCTGGCCCAGCTTGGTGGGTTGGACACCATAGATGTGGAGAGGTGGAGAGTCAGCGATGACACAGTAATGCACCTGGCCACGGCAGAAGCTCTTGTGGAAGCTGGGAAAATCTTGGATTTGGCTCACCTGTATTCCCTACTTGCTAAGCATTACCAAGACTGCATGGGAGACATGGATGGCCGAGCACCAGGTGAGTGCAACCACTGGAGGTCCTGGCGGTGGAGAATAAAGCAGCCCCAAAGCAGTCATTTAAAATGTTGATTGAGATGTAAACATCAAGGAGACAGTTATATTTTGTAGTTGTGACAAAGATAGAAACAACCCAGATGTTCTTTAATTTATTTATCTGTAGTGACACATTCACAGCCTTTTAAAATAATGCAGATTGGGGCGCCTGGGTGGCGCAGTCGGTTAAGCGTCCGACTTCAGCCATGTCACGATCTCGCGGTCCGGGAGTTCGAGCCCCGCGTCGGGCTCTGGGCTGATGGCTCAGAGCCTGGAGCCTGTTTCCGATTCTGTGTCTCCCTCTCTCTCTGCCCCTCCCCCGTTCATGCTCTGCCTCTCTCTGTCGCAAAAATAAATAAATGTTGAAAAAAAAAAAATTTTAAAATAATGCAGATAAATATTTACTGATATGGAAAGATATATTAAGTTTAAAAAGAAAAAAAGGACTACAAAACACATAGGGCATCCAAAGGCTCATTGTTGCTCTGGGCCCATTGCTCCTTTTCCGAGGCCTGGTGCTCCTCACTCTAGAATCCACAGCCTCTTTCTGACATTCAGGATCTCTAATCCTCAGGTTCTCATTGGGTTCTTTAAAGGCTTGGGCTTGGAGTCTGATGGTTTTGATGGGGCCACTGATTAGCTGGTTATGTGATTTTGAGCAAGGTTCCTAATCAAGCTCTGAGCCTCAGCTTATTTATTCATTTTTTTAAAATATTAATTTATTTTGAGAGAGAGAGAAAGAGAGCACATGTACATGTGCAAGCTGGGGAGGAGCAGAGAGAGAGAGAGAGAGAGAGAATCCCAAGTAGGCTCCATTCTGGCAGAGCAGAGCCCGACACAGGGCTCAATGTAACGAACCGTGAGATCATGGCCTGAGCTGAAATCAAGAATTAGATGCTTAACCGACTGAGCCACCTAGGCGATCCCTTTGCTTATTAATTTAAACAAGAGAATAATATGTTAAACCTACCTTTTTGAGTTATTGTGATGTCTCAGTAATAACTGATAAAGACTCCCAAGACTCTCTATATGAATCTGATTCTTTCCTAATAATCATACTAAGGGTTGAACGGAGAGTAAGGAACAGTGTTGGCTTGGGGTTTGGAGTTTGGGAGCGTTCATCATCATACTTTTTTGGCTTTCCCTTTCCATCAAAGAAACTTAGAGACTGATCTTGGTTCTGTCTTCCTGCCAGGGCCTTTGCTTTGGTTACACTGACCCTCTGCTCTACCTAACTCTTCTCAGGGGGTGCGTCAGTGCAGAATGCCATGCTACTGGAGCCAGACAAGGCCAATGGCTGGAGGATTCCCTTTAACAAGCACGAGGGCGGCTGTGGGGCTGCCATGCGTGCTATGTGCATCGGTCTCCGGTTCCCCCACCACGGACAGCTGGACACGCTGATCCAGGTGAGCATCGAGAGTGGCAGGATGACCCATCACCACCCTACAGGCTACCTGGGAGCTCTTGTTTCTGCTCTTTTTACAGCCTATGCTGTGAACAACAAGCCTCCCAGGCAGTGGGGAAAAGAAATGATGGAGGTGCTACCAGAAGCTAAAAAGTACATTATCCAATCAGGCTACTTTTTGGAGAAGAATCTTCAACACTGGTGAGTTGGTAGGCGCCCGCACCTGCTAGAAAATGATTGCATCTGTGTGTGCACAGGCATGCACACGTGTGCCTAGAATTCATAGATCAAAGCACCATCGTGGTTCTCACCATCTAGTTTTGCTGTCTGCTGGGTTCAGCACCCCCAACTCCAGCCCACCTGCTAAGGATTTCAAGTTCAGTGCCAGCAGTGGTTGCCACCAAGTAGCCAGGTGAAGACCTCAATGAGTAGTTACACCTGTGGTGCTTCCCTGTTGTTTAGGGATCCTATTTTGTATTCCACCTTTCTATAGTTTTTTGGCTATCCTATACTGCTATGAACTTCCCTGCTTATTTCCTGGAACTTGTTTATTCAGTGTTGTCTTGACATGCAATATTTTGAAATCTTTGGTTAGAGTGCCCAAGAGATAGGCTTTTTTCACCAGCTAATTAATAAGGGGTAAGCCACAATTTCCCTTTTTTGTGAGTTCATGTCACATCACCTTTCTTAGAATAAAAATATCCAGAAACTTTCTGCTGAAATCACTTAATGGTCATGATGTTCCGAAGTTCTATCTTAAAAAAAAAAAAAACACAATAGAAGTATGTAAGGAAATGATGTGTTAATTAGCTTGACTATAGTAATCTTTTCACTGTGTATCAGTATATTAAATCATCATGTTGTATACTTTAAATATATACAAGATTTCTTAAGAAAATAAAGTAAAATAAATAAGTTCCACCCTTGAAAGGTGACACTTGACATTATTCTCAATTCAGGAAAAATAGACCTTTATTTCTCACCTTTACCTTGCTATATATCTTCTTTATTCAGCAACAGCTATCAATGCCTTGTTTATATTAATCCTTGGCAAAAATTTATTGAATGAATGCCACTTAGAGCTCATTTTTATTTTTTTAAAATGTATATTTATGTATTTTGAGACCGAGAGAGAGAGAGAAAGAGAGAGTGAGTGGGGGGAGGGGAGAGAGAGAGGAGAGAGAATCTTGATGTGGGACTCAATCTCACAAACCATGAGATTATGACCTGAGCCAAAATCAAGGGTCAACTGACTGAGCCATCCAAGTGCCCCTCCTTTGATTTTTTAAAGCATTTCTTAAAAAGTTTATTTCTTTTGAGAGAGAGAGAGGGAAAGAGAGAATCCCAAGCAGGCTCTACACCATTAGTGCAGAGCCCAGTGTGGAGCCTGAACTCACGGAACCATGAGATCATGACCTGAGCCAAAACCAAGAGTCAGACCCTTAATTGACTGAGCCACCCAGGCATCCCTCATTTTGATTATTTAATACAATTTTGATATTAGTACAAGAAGTTGAAGTCATCTTGGAATTTTCTCTATTCATACATTTATCTGCTACCTTTCCTTATGGTTTTCAAATTTATTTTTTCAATTGACTGTAGAATTTTTCCTTCCTACAGGTCCTACTTCCAAGACCAATGGGAAAAATACCTAAAACTTAGAGGGATTTTGGATGGCAAATCTGCCCCTACCTTCCCCAAGCCCTTTGATGTGAAGGAGAGGGATCAGTTCTATACCTCCGTGAGCTACTCTGGCTGGGGTGGCAGCAGTGGACACGATGCCCCCATGATTGCTTATGATGCCATCCTGGCTGCAGGAGACTCCTGGAAGGAGCTTGCCCATCGAGCCTTTTTCCATGGTGGAGACAGTGATTCTACAGCTGCTATTGCTGGCTGCTGGTGGGGAGTTATGTATGGTTTTAAAGGAGTGAGTTCCTCCAACTATGAGAAACTGGAATACAGAAACCGGCTGGAAAAGACAGCCAGGGCTTTGTATTCTCTTGGGTCAAAGGAAGACACTGTAGTTACCCTTTAGAGAGATGTGACATCATTTCTCGTGGTTTCTCCTCTTATGTAGTCCAGTTTCTTTTCATTTTTTCCAAAGTCAAGAGTTTTAACCTTGTACTCCAGGAATTTTGAGGTAACATGTCCCTTGAGCACCTGAAGCTTATCTTTCCAAATTCATCCTGTCCCCCCTGACTCTGTCCCTCTTTCTGTCCTTTATCTCAGTTGATAGAAGTCAGTATCTCCCCAAGCTAGAAGTCTCATGGCCCCATATTTGAGTCTTCATTTTCATCATCTAATCTTTCACTGAGTTTTTTCTGTGTGTTTCAGGTTGAGTTCTCCAAAAGTGGACTTTGAGACAAAGATTCAATAACAAGTAGTTTATTTGGGAGGTGATTCCAGGAAGCCCTGGTAGGAAAATGGGAGGTGAGACAGGGAGGAGAGGGGAGGGAAGCCAGCACAAGGTGCGATGAGCAGGTCAGCACTCTGGCCAGTTGGGACTAGTCCATCTGGGTTCTCTGTAAGGCACTCCTCAAGAGTTGTCCCACCCAAGGGGCAAGCAAACCTTGCCAGACACCTTTGCTGGGGTGTCCATCCGTCACCTTCCATTTGGCATTGGTTGAGGACCACTCCTAGGGACGCTAACTCCCTGGTACTTCTTGGCCTGTCTTTTGTGCAAGCCAGACACAGATGTCTTCGGGCAAAGACTCAGAGGTGCTTGCAATGGCAAGCTGTACAGTGCATGGGAAGAGTGAAGGAGGTATGTGGGGTCCCAATAGCATCTGCCAGATGGTCTGCCTCCTAAATGTCCTTCACAGCTGTTACTCTTTTACTTTCTCGCACCAGTATTTTTCAGTTGGATTTCTGCAGTCCAGGGTACTTAAGTCTGGGGAGATGCTGCTCCAAGCTGTACTCTGTACTTTGCTGGCCATGACACTTAACGAATTGCCAGTTTTGTTGTTTTCTCTTGGCTTGTCTTTATTTTCCTCTAGACACAACCTAGCAAAGTGCCTGGGAACATGGGAGGTACTTGATCAGTATATATTAAATGAATGTTGTTAATTACCTCCTGTCTGGTCCCTTAATTCCAGTCTTGCCTTCCTCCTTGCCCTCCAGAGTTATCTTTGCAAATCAGTCATGCTGAACTTCTAATCATGTTCCAATGAATACTCACCCCCTTTCTCCATTTCTTAATGCTCTTCCCTCTCCTTTTCCACCTGGTAGATGCTTACTCATCCTTCAAGCCCCAGCTCAGGTAGAACCTTCTGGGTGAAACTTGCTGTGATTATTCGGGCACTTGGCCGCTTTCTCCTCATATACCCACAGCCTTGGCTCCAGGCTTGTCACCACACTGGTCCTGTTGAGTGGTGATTGGGTGTCTTCTGAGGACAAACTCAGGTTCCTTGTGAGGAATTATCTTATTCTCTTTGTGGCCTGTCTGCTGGCCCATGAGAGACATTCAATAAATAGGTTCATCAAATTGTGTTGATGTGAATGCTTTCAACATGCGGTTCCACATCTGTTTCAGACACATCTGTTCAGACACCTGCTACTTCACGGTTGCCCAGAGTGACCTGTGATGCACTGTGAGAGACAGAGAGTCTGATGCTTTAACCATGCACATGTGCTGACCTACACAGCTCTGTATTTGAAGCAGGACTCAAGCAAGGGCATGGAATTTATTATTCTTTTATACGTAAAGGGAGAAGGAAATTCCTAAGTTCATTTTCTGTCTCAAAAAACTCTCACACGTGTTTATATATTTCAGAAAACAAACACGTTTTATATATTACAAAAGCAAAAACAGGTTCTTTGGTAAGACAAGCAATTGGAGTTGTAGACGTTCAAGCATGCTGGGCTACAATTCACAGAACACTGTCATACGTCTTAAATTCAGATGTCTTAAAAGACTCCTTTGTATAAATATTCTGAGCACAGTTTTAGAATAATAGAAAACACATACAAGATTTATACAAGACATGCAACATTTATACAAGATTCCTGAGCAGAATATTAAGGTGACCCTCGTGACTGCTTTCAATTTCCCAGTTGGTAAGAACTGACTTTATAGCACAGAATAGTGTGTGCCTTTCTGCAGATGTAAGACAAGAGGAAACATTTCTCCTGGTTGTTCTGAAGTGTCTTTTTCCAGTAGTTAGGAGCCTAGAATAGACAGAACACTAGAGTTCTATTAGCACTGGCCAAACAGTAGACCTGCTTAAATCTTACAGTTTAGAAAAGAGCAGAAGAGCATTTTAACAAGTGGAATCTGAGGCATGACCTGTTTTACCTCTGTAGCTAGTTTGGTAAGTCATCTGAATTTAGTAAGAAGCAAACATTTTATTTTTCTCCAACTACTGCCTTCACAGTACTGTGTGGAAGCTGCTTTTCCTGTCCCTTAGAATATCACATTGTTTTTGGTCCTTTGGTGGGGGTGGGGGTGGGGAGTGTATTAAAAACCCAGTCCAGGGGTGCCTGGGTGGCTTAATCAGTTAAGCTTCTAGCTCATGATTTTGGCTTAGCTCATGATCTCACAGTTTGTGAGCTGACAGTGTGGAGCCTGCTTGGGAGTCTCTCTCTCCCTCTCTCTGCCCCTCCCCAGCGCTCGCTCTCTCTCTCTCTCTCTCTCTCTCTCTCTCTCTCTCTCTCAAAATAAATAAATAAACTTAAAAAAAACAAAACCAGTCCAGTATTTTTTTTTTAATTTCAACTTTATTGAGGCATAATTGACATAAAAGATTGTAAGATATTTAAAGTGTACATCGTGGTGATTTGATACACATTTATATTGTGAAAGGATTCCTCCCATCTAGTTAATTAACACACCTATCATTGCACATATTTATATTTGGGGGTGGAGTGGGTGGTGAGAACATTTAAGGTCTACTTTCTTAGCAAATTTCAAGTATACTATACAGTGTTATCCACCGTAGTCACCATGTTTCACCTCATATCTTCAGACCTGCTTCATCTTACAGCTGAAAGTTTGTACCTTCTTACCAACCTCTCTCTATTTCCCCACCTCCCAGCCTCTGGCAACCACTTTCCTACTCTGTTTCTAGGAGTTTGACCTTTATTAAAGATTCCACATATAAGTGATAACCATGCAGTATTTGTCTTCTCTGTTTGGCTTAGCATAATGCCGTAAATGAAGCCCATCCCTGTTATCACAAATGGCTGGATTTCCTTCTTTCTCATGGTTGAATGATATCCTGTTGTGTGTATGCATATACTCCATCTTCTTTATCCATTCTTCTGTTGATGGACAATTAGGTTGTTTTCATATCTTGGCTATCGTGGATAATGCTGCAGTGACACGGGAGTGCAGACCCTTTGGGACCCTGTTTTCATTTCCTTTAGATTTATACCCAGAAGTGGGAATCCCAGCCCAGTTTAATCAATTCTAAAACTTCCATGTCATGCCCTCCATGCTCCCCACCTCCATCAGCCCTGGGCCCAAGGGACTTAGAGGAGAAAAGGGGACATTCTTCCCCTCTCTCTTCTGAGGCTCCTTGCTCCTCTCAGATGTTGCCCTGAGACCATTATCATTGGTGGAGCACTGGTAGGAAAGGCTCAAGACAGCTGTCTTCTGAGGAGTCCCCTCAGCCCAAGGGAAACTCGTCCTTCCTGCTCCTGTCCAGCAGTGGGAGTGCAGGCTTCCCACCTGTTGCTGTCTTACATTTCACCCATCCCTCTTAAATAGGCCTTGAGAGATCCAACTTGGAAATAGATACCCATGCCCCCTTGATATGGTCACCTTCAATCTCAACTGGTAGGCTCTCACTGGTTGTGGAGGGTAAGAAAGAGCACCACCTCCCCTCCTCTTTCAAGAAGGTAAGAGAGAACCCCCACAGAACTTGACTCTCTATTTTCCATTCAAATCACTGGCTTCCAGTGGAGGGGAGGTGGGGAAGAGAGGTCTGATAACAGCAGTTCTGTTACCTTCTCCTATATCCTACTGGGATTTGTCTTTCCAAGTCCTCCCAGTCCCTTTAGAATACAGTGGAAGAGGTGGGGGAGAGGGGTAGGAGGGCGAGGACTGAGCATTTGTTATTCCCCAGGTAGGACTTCAGCCACAACTGGAGACAGCAGAGAAAGACTTTAGAGATCCTGCTATGTTTGTTTGAGACAATCTGTCTTCATCACAGGTGCACTTCAAAAAGAGTTCAGACTTTCATACTCTTTCTTCTCAAACCTCAAAATCTCCTCTTCAAACTTTACTCTCAACTGGCAACCTTGCTTGCTATTTCTCTGAGAAAAGAGAAGCAACCAGAGAACAATTACACACTCCCCTCACCACCTCTGCCCACCACCTGCATCTGGCTCAGGGTGTCTACCTTTGCTCCTACTGTGAATGCCAGGTGCCAGTGTGTGTGTGTGTGTGTGTGTGTGTGTGTGTGTGTGTGTGTGTGTGTGTAGAAGCAGGGAGGAGGAGAATAGAGGAAAGAGATAACGTAATTATATGCATGATGTTGCAGTAAATTTAAAAAAATGATCTGAGGGGCGCCTGGGCGGCTCAGTCAGTTAAGCGTCCGACTCTTGATTTCGGCTCAGGTCATGATCTCACAGTTCGTGAGCTGGAGCCCCATGTGGGGTGTGGAACCTGCTTGGGATTCTCTCTCCCTCTCCCTCCACCTCTCCCCCACTTGCATGCTCTCTCTGTCTCTCTCTTAAAAAATGATCTAGCACACAGTATGAATTTATTAGGCTTATCAAATTAATATGTGTGTACTAAAAAAGAGAAAAAAACATGTGTAACATTACGGGGATTAATTATATGTTTTTGACCTGCTATATAATGGTGCTTCATTTGCTTTGTTTGTTACCTAAGATTGCTAGATGTTATCTAGAAGTCTTGGCAATATTTTTTGTAAGAGCTGCAAAATTAGCATTGGCCACATCCACCCTCCTCCAGGCTTCTTCAGCCACCATATTCTCCATTTACTCCCCTCTATACCTCTCCAGGGCAAGTAAATGTGCTTTTTGTTTTGTTTTGTTTTGTTTTGTTTTGTTTTTTAAACAGCCACAGAGCTACTGAGAGTGAGGGGGAAGGAATAGAGATTCTGATGATTTCACAACTAACCAGCCTACTGGATCAGCTCCTCATGGGATGGCTGCTGGTGTCTGGTTAGGGATCCAGGGGTCAACAAGATAGGGCATAGTGGGGAGCCTTCCCATCATTTTCCACTTTGGGAGTTTGGGGGTTAGGAGAAGTGACACCTAGGGTATCCATTTGGAGAAGGAAAAAGAAGAGGAGGAAGAAAGAGTTACCAAGTGTCAGGTAGTTTATTACAGCCCATTAGCAGATGAAGAAATTGGGCTCAGAGAAGCTTCCATCTGTCCAAAGTCACATGTCTAGGGTGAGAAGGAGCCGGGGTTTAAACCCAAGCCACGTGTCTCCAGTCCTATCATACTGCAACTGTTAGCTGTAGTTAGAAAGTTTTCCTTAGACAAGGCCAAAATGGAACCCAAGAGTTACATGGTGATGTCAGAAGCCTGTGCCCTCTCTTCACCTTCTCACAACTATGAGGGGAAGTCAGGGAGAAAGCTCGTTGAGGCTTGATCCACATTTGGGTGCAGGGGTAGGGAGGGGCAGAGCAGAGCTCAGGTCAGACTGTGAAATGGACAGACTCTTCACTCTCCCCTCAGCTTCCCTGCCCTCCTCAGAGAGCCTCCTCTTCCTCTGACACCAAGGAGACCCCATCCAATGCCTGGGCTGTGACTGGGACTCCTCTCTCTACATTGTGCTTGGTTGCACCCGTCCCATTTAAGGTTCCTACTTCCCTTTTTTTTTGGTCTCAGTGTCATCATCTGTAGCAGCTGGGTGTTGTCCGGCAAGTGCTGTCTCTCAGGGTCTCTGGGCCTGGAGCCCATGGACTCCAGTTTCCCTGGATGATGCTGAGGCAGGTGGTCCTGCACACAGGAGAACTCCAGCAGAACTACTTGAAGAGTACTGTACTAGATGACGAAAGGGAAAGGGAAGGTGCTCTCTAAGTGTCAGCTGTATTAATGCCACCCACAAGGAATACTGTCCTGGAATGACTGGAGTAGCTAGCTTGGTGTGCCAGCTCTGGCTGTGGTGTGAGCGGCTATGAAAATGCAGCCCTCAATCTCTGGCCCCAGGGACCCTGATTGATTCACGGTCCCAGTTGCGGCCTTTCTGGATCTATCCTCATCTTTGTGCTGAGACTGACCCCAGCTAGTGACTGAGCAGGGTGGAGATGCTAATCAGGTTCATTACTGTAAGACAGGACTTCGTTAATAAGAAACTTCAGCTTGGGGCCCCAGGATGGTTCGGGTTGGTTAAGCGGTTAAGTGTCCGACTCTGGGTTTGGCTCAGGTCATGATCTTGCGGTTCAAGCCCCACCTCCGGCTTTGTGCTGACGTTGCAGAGCCTGCCTCGGGTTCTTCCCCTCTCCTTCTTTCTCTGCCCCTCCCTGCTCATGCTTTCTCTCTCTCAAAATAAATGAATAAACTTAAGAAAAAAAATCCTTAAAAACAACAACAACAAAACAACAACAACAACTTCGGCTTGAACATTCCCCATTGCCCTTGCCAGAACATTCCAGGAACTGTGAGGCAGTCCAAGACTTTTCCTATGTCATCCATTTCCTTTCCCCTCTTCACAGGTGTCAAACTTGCATCATGGTCTAAAGACTGTCTCTGCCTTCTTCAGCTTCCCTTATTGCTCACAGGTGTTATCTCCGGTAAATCTCTTGCCCATCTAGCCCCATCTTGGTGTCTCTTCTCCGAGGAGCCAGACTACCACACCTGGCGTGGTTGGTGACACCAAAGCAGCCTTCAGTAATGCCCTATTTATCGCTCCTCTCCTTCCTGGTGGCAGCAGTGCTCGAGTAGTGGGATCATGTGCACCAGGGGAAGCAAGGGCTTCCCTCCAAAATCATTTTATCCTCATCTTGGGCAGACCTGGCACAGCCATGATGACACAGTGCCAAGGCTTCCTTGGGGACTGTTACTTTCTGGTGCACAGGTACGGAGCATGGCCTCTGGGATTAGTTCGTCCCAACTCTACATGACCTTGTGCAAGTTACTTAGCCTCTCTATGCTCTAAGGCTGTACACACCTCACAGAGCTATTGTCCAGAAAGTGTGATAGTGCCCTACTGGCAGGTTCCACCTCGTAGCGGTACGCTGCAGTTTAAGGAGTGCTGGGCAAGTACCTTGCCTTCCCCTTTCCCCTGACCTGCCCAGAACTAGCTCTCTGTGGTTTCTGCCACTCTTTTGCGTGAAGAGGCCATGTGGTGTGCTGGAAACGCCCTGGTTACAGGCCAGCACAGCCACGTCTAACAACAGGGTTGCGACGGGTCACTTTCTTTGTCTACTGTTCAGTTTCTTCATTCTTTATTTGTAAGAAGATGAACATCTCTTTGAAAGGAAAGTACTGTCAGAGGCAAACTTCATATTTTCCACTCTTTCTGTTAAATATACACTAAACACATATTATTGGTCCAGTTCTATTCTAGGCCCTGGGGATTCAAAATGAAAGGAGAAGGTCTTTGCCCTCAAGTTGCTCAGAGTCTTCCTAGGGAGATAAACATGTCCACGATGATTCTGTGGGTTTTGTCATCACCTAGAGATAAAAGACTTCTGCCTGGGTTTTTACTAACATTTTATAATAGGAAGTGGGAGAGGGGCAGGAAATCATTTCCTGATGATGTTTGGCTCAGAGAGGAAGGACAATGTGTTTCAATGTCCCCTGCCTAAAAAACGAAGTGTATTTGTTTTCATTGGGAAGAAGAAACCAAAAAACTGTGGAGGTTAGACAAATAGGGAGAGTTTATTTTTCTTCTAACAGGTCATGAGGCCAGTTAATAATCAGCGAGACTCAAGTGAGTGTTGGGTATCCAAAACTTTGAGAGACGGGCTTCTGTGATCTCTTTTGGCATTAGGGGTCGGCTTCACTCCAGCTCTGAGACCTCCAGCTCAGCAATGCCCCCAGGCCTAGGGGACAGAAGCTTCTGTTCGTGGGGACTCCTTTTGTGGCTCAGCATTGGAAGTGCAGGTAATTCGGGGGCTCGGGCCTTAGGTGGAATTTCTTTCAGTCAGTGCTTCTATTTCTTAAACCAACTATTTATATAGTGCTAACATTTGGAGGGTCCCCTAAAAGCCTTCTCTTCTCTTGAGATGAATTTAGAAGAGGGAGGGAAAAAAACCTACAATCATAAAGGGACTGGTAACGACCAGGATACTTTCTCAAGTCCCCTAAAAGCTGCATTAATCCTTTCACCCGGCACAAGACTGTAAGAAAATAATATTGCATCAGTTCCAAAATATGACTTACATTCACCCTATAAATATCCACTGTACCAAGATATATTTAATTTTAAATTAAAAATTTCCAGACTAACCAAGATTTTGCCACTGAGAATGGTGGATGTCCTTGCTAATCCACTACCCAACATTTTTGATAGATGTGGGAAATGTTGCCTGCAAAGAAGTTACAACTGTTTATTAATATGTGAGCATGGCTGGTTCCCCACCTCTCTGCCAATACTTCACAGTATCAAACATTTTTCATATTGTCAACCTGATGGAAAAAATAGTATTACATTGTTGTCTTAATTCTTATTTCTTATCATGATTTGTGCTTCCAGTGTCTTGTTTAAGCAATCATACTATAAAGGCAATTTTTCATATTTTCTTCTAAGCCCTAATGGCTAGCCCAATCAGACTAAGATCACTAGGGACAAATCCTTTAATCGTGGTGTATTTTTAAATATAATACTGAATTTTATTTTGCCAAAATTTATTTTTACTTTTGTATATATTTATATGTTATTTTGATTATATGTCCATAGAAAATTTACCTATCGTTTTCTTTTCTTGCATTACCCTTGTCCAGTTAATACTAAGATTATTATAACCTCATGAAATAAGTGTCTATTCTATAAACAGTTTATATAAGATAAAGACTATTTGTACTTTGAAGCAGTGCAGTTCTCAGATAAAACCATCTAGCTCTAGTATACTTTAGAGTCAGAAAGACTCTTGATTACCAATTTAATGTTTTGATGCTAGTTTTATTTGGGCTTACTATTTCTTCTTGAGTCAGTTTCACTAAATTGGATTTTTCTAGAAAATTATCTATTTCTTCTAAGTTGTCCAATGCATTTGGGAATTTAAAAAAATATCTTTTTATCCTTGACATTCTGGTGTTATACTATAATGTGCCTAGTGTAGATTTATTTTTTTTATCTCGCTCATTACCCTGAGTACAAGTTTTGATTGGAGAAATCATATCTTTAGTTGTGGAAAATTCTAAATAATTATCTTTTCAAACTAGTGCTTCTTCTCCCATTCACTTCCCTTAGAGAACAGCTATGAGATAAAAATAGAATCTTTCCATCTATTGTCTGTGCTTTTTGACTATACTTCCATATTAAAATTTTCTTTTACTTCTGTCCTAAACATTACAGTATTGATTCCCTTTTTATTTCAATGGTTATCTTTTTCATTTCTAATTTCCTAACTAGGTTTTTTCTATAAATCTTATTTTATTATTTATTTGTGTTTTTATTTCATAATTTCATATGCTCTGTCTTTATTTTTATCCTTGTGGGTTCTCAGCATATTTATTTAAAAGTCTATGTCAAAGGCTTTTAAAAACTTATTTCACCTGGAATGAATTCATGATCCACTTATTGGCTTTATTGACTATCTTTGTAAACATTTGATTTCTGTATAAATTTAGATATTTTGTTTGCAGGCTTTTTTTTTTTTAAAGAAAACTCGCTATTGAAGTACAACATATATACAGACAAGCGCACAGATTATTAATACACAGGTTAATGAATTTTCACAGTGAATTCACTCACCTGTGTAACCATCATCCAAATCAAGAAATAAAACATTACCAGGTTCTTAAAACCCATTCCACATATCCCCTCTTAATCACTACCACCCCAAAGATAACTATTATCTTGACTTCTAACACAATAGGTTAGTTTTATTTCAGTGTCAATGAGAAGTTTGTTTATGGCCTTCCCCACCTCTACCCCCCACCCCCAGTCCTTCCCATCTTTAGACTCTCTCCTCCATTTAGGGGGGGGAAGGGTGGTTGTCTCAGTTCTTCTTAGTGAGGCCTTGTCTTTCCATCCTGCCTTCCTAAATAAACCTATAGCCCCAGGTAAAAAGTCAATAGCTACTTTTTTGTTGTATTGCTTTTGTTTTTAGCTTCCTTTATGGAGTTGGAGAGCTTCGCCTGGTGCTGACCTTCCACAAAGCACTGACACAAAGCACTACTGGACCCCCCTTACCTCACAGAGCTGAATCCTCACAACCACTGTCTTCTCCCAGAACAGGAACCCAGCACCATATTGCAATTCTGTTCTTGTTCTTGCCCACAGAGATATAATCTTTATATTTGAGATCATCTATGTCTTTCTTCTCTTTTGATATTCATCTATGATTAGTCTTTGGTTGGACAGGTGGTTAGGGAGAGGGGATATCGGAGTATGACTCACTGTGCCACCTTCCATACTCTCGAATGATAGAAAGTTTTATTATGTATCTGCAAATATTGTCAATTTTCTCTCCTCCTTTTCAAACTTTGTAACTTTGATTCCATTTTATTGTCTTGTTTCCCTGGCTTGGACTAGAACTTCCAGTACAATATTTCATAGAAGCACTGATAGCAGACATTCTCATTTGTTTCCAGTTCTAAATGGAATGCTTCTAATGTTTCGCCTATAAGTATGGTCATCAGATAGGCTCTTGGATAATGCTTTTTCTTAGGTTAAGAAGTGTTGGATATTAAATTTTATTGTGCTTCTTTCTTCTCCATCTATTGAGATGAGCATATGGGTTTTTCTCTTTAATTTTTCATATGTGAAGTACATTAATATATCTTCTAATGTTAAGCCATCTTTTCATATCTTGGATTAAACCCTGCTTGGCCATGATATATTTTTTATGCATATTATCTTTGATGGGCTTAGATTTGCTGGTAATTTATCCAGGGTCTTTATGTCTGTGTTTAATAGTGAAATTGGCCTTTTGTTTTCTTTTCTCCTTCTATCCTTGTCCAATTTGGATATCTTGGTTATTTTTGTAGAATGAATTTAGATTATCCCCCTTTTCTATTCTCTGGAACAGTGATAGGAATTGAAGGAATGATAGAATTTTTCTGGAAAACTGTCTGGCCTGGTAGAGGTTTTTTGATGAATAAATCAAAAACTACTGTTTCAATTCCCTCATGCTACTGTTTTACACTTGACTTTCTATTTTTTCTTTTTGACTAAGTTTCAGTAAGTTATATTTTCTAGGAAATTGTCTATTTTCTAGGCAAATACCTGTAATTTTAATTTTGGGTGGGTATAAACATGCTCTTTAATAGTTTTTTTTTTTTAAGTCTACTATATATCCCTTTTTATTCTCTATATTGTTTACTTGTGACTTCCCTCTTTTTGTCTTACTCTGTCTTATCAATCAAAAGTACAACTAGTTTATTATTATTTTCAAAGAAGTAGCTTTTCATGTTTATTATGTGTGGCATACCCTATTCTGGGCAGTAGAGTGAACAAAATGGATAAAAATCTCTGCCTTCTTTGAAAGTATATCCTAATACAGGGAAATCAGTAAGCAATAAATTTAATAATAAACTAGTAAATTCCATAGGAGATTAGAAGGTGATGATTGCAATAAAAGGAAATAGATTAAGATGACAAAAATTGAGAGAACAGGGGTGAGGAGCACAGGCAGGTGGCAATTTAAAGTAGTTACACTTGACAAGCAAAGCCTCGGAAGAGAAGAGGGTGTTAGCCATGTGGATGTCTGTGGAAAAGACACTCCAGGCAGAAGGGATGGCTGGTGCAAAGACCCTCAGGTGGTCTAGGCCTGTGTAGAGTGAAGAAGAGTTGGGAAGACACGTGGCCAGAATGGAGGAAGGAATAGTCAGACAGGCAAAGCTTTCCCGGAGCTCATGGTTTAGACCATTTGGGGCTTTAGTCCAATGTTAGGACTTCAGGTTTCATTCTGAGGGAAATGCCCTCTTTTGCACAGAGGTGTGACATTATTTGACTTATTTTTTGGCTTGCAGTTGACCTTCTACTTCATGTGTCTTCACAGTGTCTTTCCTCTGTGTCTGTGTCCAAATTTATTCTTATAAGGACACCAGCCATATGGGATTAGGACCCACCCTATTGGCTTCATTTTAGCATAAATACCTCTATTTATTTAACATAAAAACTCTATCTCCAAATACAGTCACATTCTGAGGTCCTGGGAGTTAGGACTTCAACATATGGATTTATGGTTGGGGGGGGGGTACTCAATTTATCTCATGACAATATCCACTTCACCATGGCTTTTAATCTTCTCTAGTTGAGTAATATTCATATCCTTTTCTGGCAATGTATCTTTAGACATGGAAACTATTCACAGATTTTGGTTATAGAAGTGATGTCTTTAATAAGTGAGTCTGAATATTGTACTAGCTGATTTATAATAAATGCTGGTAAGCCCCTGTTTGTCTCTTCCTCTCAAGAACAATTGTCTTCCTTCTAAGAATAGATGACCTCACCTTGAATCTTTCTTGTTTTTCTTTTTGTTTTTTCCTCCAGGAGACGCACCTCCTATCCCACAGACAAAGTGCACTGACTTCCAGAATGCTAATCTTCTCCAAGGCACCAATCTCAAAGTCCAGTTTCTCCTCTTCACCCCTTTGGATCCTAGCTGTGGTCAGCTACTGCAGGAAAGTAGTGACATCCAAAAGTCTGGGTTCAATGCCTCTCTGGGAACTAAACTAATCATCCATGGATTCAGGTGGGAGTAATCAACCAATAGGATCATCTTCACTAAGAACTAGAGAGTGACCATAAGGCCACAGGAAGTTAATGGGGACCAAGGGGAGAGATGGATTTACTGACAGTCACATGTTTTATCTCTCACCTCCTGCTGTCTTTGAAGGTTTCTCATATCAACATGAATACACATTATGTTGTTTATTCCTGTTGGTCATGTATATTAGTCCTCTGCTTGGTCTTATCTACATGCTCTCAAACAGTAAATATGTATGACCCCGGACAAGTTGTCCCAGCACATGAAACCTTGGTTTCCACATCTGAATAAAAGGGAAGTTGTAGAAATGGTCCCAGTTGATCTTTCCTTCCTGAAGCATGGGGTATGTGACTCATCTCAGCCAGTGAGGTCATGGGCTGTGTGTAATCAGAGTAAGGGCATGGTGTTTTTATCCAGGGTTTTATTTCCTCTTCTTTATTTCTTCTCTGGCTTCATGATTTAAGAAACTTCCACTCACGGGTGCTACTTCCATCATCTCCTGAGACTAACCTTTCTCAGGTTTCATTTCTTTGATGCCCTATCGTCCAAATTTTGTTATAATATGTAGTCACTGAGTCTCAATTCGACCACTATCCTTCCTTCCAACGTCTTCTCTCCAGAGCCCACTGACAAGGCCTAAAACAGAAGAAGGTTGGTGGGAGGAAAGAGGGAGAAAATGCAGTGAAAATAGTAGCAGTATAGAGCAACTAGAGATGGGAGTGTCCAATGAAGAGGTGGATGCAAAGGCACTGCACAAAGGATCACCATTTCATGGCCTCTGGGTTCTCTCTGCTTCTCAAATCCCTGGACCCTGAGCACCCGGCTCTATACCTCCTTAGGTATATACTTCCTTACTCTTATGCCAAAGTCTCTTCTCCAGAAAATCTTCTATTTAGCCACTATCTAAGGCTGTATGTGTATCCCCAACCAAGAGATAGCTAACAGAGCTGGAGAGCTCAGCAGCTGTCACTCTGTCTGCTCCTAGATCCCCTGAAATCCACTTTCTATGGCACACACCCAATTTGTGCTCCTCTGCCTACGTGTATGCTCTTACCATTCCTTCACTGTGGGCCACTGAGAAAACTTCTCCAGATCCCAAACTCTTGGTAAAGTTCTATGAAATTTTTTCTATCATTCTCCTTTTCCTAGAAAAGCGCTTTTATACTATGAGTTCCAGAAGAATAGAGACTGCATCTTATTTTTCTTTATTTCTCACAAAGCACCTGGAATACTGACCCATTGAATTAATGAAAGTATGATCAAAAGAACAAGTACATAAAAACATTCTTCAAGGGAAGTGCATATTTTTAAAATATATTTTTACTGTTTATTTTTGAAAGAGGGAGAGAGACAGAGTGTGAGCAGGGGAGAGGCAGAGAGAGAGGGAGACACAGAATCTGAAGCAGGCTCCAGGCTCTGAGCTGTCAGCACAGAGCCTGACACCGGGCTTGAACTCATGAACTATGAGGTCATGACCTGAGCCGAGGTCAGACGCTTAACCAACTGAGCCACCCAGGCGTCCCAAGGGAATTGCATATATTATAGAATGAGAATTAAGATTGCAAATCTTAACTCTAATGTACAAAGCTATCTTCTTTTTTTCTATAAATAACACAAGCAATGTCACTACATATGGTTTGTGTGGTATCCATTGCCCAAAGGTACCTGACTGAGGGCTGGTGGGGCTGGAATTCAACCTGAGTTCTGAGCCCAGGCATGAGGCTGCATCTACCTAAAACAAAAGGCACTCTTTTATCATTTACACAAAGGCTCCATATATGCAGGCAGAAGCCCTGGTGACTATAGGATTATGTCCTCCCTATGCTGAAAGTGGTAGAGGGTTTATTGCCCATATATCCCCCTGATTCATTTTGATCGTCCCCCCCCCCCCGCCCCCGGGTTTATTCTGTTAATAGAGAATGTCACTGTAATTCCCATGACAATGGATATTGGCTTGGCAGATAATTTTCCCATCCTTTTTTGGCCCCATGTCTAGGGCTTTAGGTACAAAGCCTTCTTGGATTGATAAATTCATCGGTGCCCTTCTTCACGCAGCAAATGCTAATGTGATTGCTGTGGACTGGGTTTATGGCTCTACGGGTATCTACTTCTCAGCCGTGCAGAATGTGGTTAAGCTGGGCCTAGAGATCTCCCGTTTCCTCAAGAAACTACTGGTAGGTACACAAGAGCTTTGGGGGAGTTTTGCCTGCTTATTAGGGGAGAGGAAACAGAAAGAATCAACATATGAGGAGGAGCTTTAGGGCGGAAGCAGAGCTACCTAGTGGCTTGTGGGTCTTCGATTCTAATCTCAACTTTACCACTTACAGTGCTGACTCTGGGCAAGTAGTTGGCCCTCTCTGAGCCTCCCGCTCCTCCTCTGTAAAATGTGCCACTGCATGTTAGATAGGGAGTCACTCGAGAGGGAGTGGCCATGGGCATTATTCACACACGTTGAGCACCAAAAAGAAAGTGAGGCAATCATCAAGGTGGGGTTTCTAGGAAGAAGTTGAGTGGTGAATGGAATGAAAATTCTGCCTTTTTCGCCCAAAGTGTGTGTGGTGGGTACGTCATGCCCGGGGTCCTCGGATTCTGAAGCTTCAAGGAAAAGTGTGACGCTGTGAGGCCCAGGTTGCCATGGCCCAAATGCAACTCACTTGTAAATGCCCCATTCTAGGTATTGGGTGTGTCGAAGTCCTCAATCCACATCATTGGTGTTAGCCTGGGAGCCCACGTTGGGGGCGTGGTGGGATATTTCTACGAAGGCCAGTTAGGACGGATCACAGGTAACATTATTCTCTGCCCATCACCCCAAGTTTGGAGATAAAGAGAGAATGCCCTTGAAATCCCTCTTTTGAGGCAAGCAGAAGGATCTTTGTTCTTATGACCAAGTCATTTATTTCCACTAAACTTTACTTATTGTGGCCATTTACATAAAACAGTACTGTGTTGTTATTGTGTGATCTCTAATGTCAGTATAAGAGGCCATGTATTTCTTTCTGAGCCTCAGTTACTACTTCTGCGAAATGAGTTATAATAGGTCATATCTCCTTGGCCCACTGTGGAAATCACCTTTAGTCAATTATGCTAAATACTTGCAATACACTAGGGATTTTATGCTTTAGAAGCTACCCTCAATCAATAAAAGACCAGAGTTATGTGGTAAATACTCTGCTTTCTGGCTCTTCTGTGGGACAACTTGTCCCACAGTCATGAGTCATGTTCTACAGAGCCTCTCAGAAGGGTCCCAGTGGAATGAGACCAAGTTGCCCAAAGTGATAATCCATTCAATACTTTTTTTCCCCCGTGCTCTGATTCATTTTTTCCACTCCTTCATTATGCTTTCTGTGATCTACTCCCAAAAAGCTACTTATGCTTTAAATCCTTGTCTCAGGGTTTGCTTTGGGGGAGGAAGAGGAAAACAGACCCAAACTAACACCTGGGGACAGTAATTTTTACTTGTGAAGACTAGCACAAGGCCTTGAACATAGTAACTGCTCAAAAAATTATAGCTGTAGTTATGAGTACATGAGGATTAATATTACTCACATTAGCCCTTACCAACTGGCTCACTTCAGAGCCAGAGAAGCTGCGTCATTGAGAGTTAGAGACACAGCATGCGTTTTCCTGGGTACAATGGCCCTGAGCTGGTCCTCTTGCCCTTGGATCCTTGCTGGGGGACTCTAGGATCTGACCAGGAAGGACTGCCTGGAGAGGTGTGTGATGGGTCCATGAGGGTTCTGGAAGCTGAGATGAAAGGGGCCCCTGACATCAGTCTGTCCCAGCAGGCCTGGACCCCGCTGGACCAGAGTACACCAGAGCCAGCCTGGAGGAGCGCCTGGACCCTGGAGATGCCCTCTTTGTGGAGGCCATCCACACAGACACTGACAGTGAGTGGGGGTGACCCTCCTGGGATGGGGGGGGGGATGAGCATGGCAGGGGCTAGGAGGCTGGCATCTACCTGTGTAGCTCTGGGCAGATTCCCTCCCTTCTGAGCTTCTGTTGCAGTGAGGAGTTTACCAGCATCATCTTGATCTCTGGTTAACACTAAATCTTGTGACAAGGCTGGGTGGGGGAGGACACTGCTGCCTGGCTGGCATAGGGGAAAGTCATACTACTTTTTTTCAGGGTGAATGTGCCTGGCCCCATGGGATTGGGACATTCCACTTCTGGGGCAGATACGCAGGCCTGTCGGGACTTCCTCCTCCCCAGGGAGGAGCCAGCCCTTCAGTCCAGTGAAAAATGAGAAATCCTCCCCGCCCCCCCAACTCTGAATCCATTGTGACCAAATTAAGCTATTCTGACTAGCTGGAAAAGGGGATGGGCATTCCTCCTCATTTCTACTTTGATATGAAATGCCCAGGAGTTAGCCAGATCCTGTGCTCAGGATGGTGGGTACGAGATCAATTCACGCCTATCCCTCACCAGAAGAGTCTGGTATTCAAGTGAGAGGTGTCCATGTCTCATTCCCTTTGTTCAGAAGCCTTCTTCTTAACACCCAACACTCACAGACTCATAATTCTGGAAGAAACCCATGCAGTCATGTAATTCAACCCTCTTTCCCACCTTTGTCATCTCACAGTTAGGAAAGCAAAGACCACAGGCTTCTGCCTAGCTGTTGGGTTAACCGTATTAATTATCAAGGTCAACTACTTCTGTTTCTAAGTTTGCTAAATAGGTGACTTGTTAGGTCCCTATTTATCAGAGGGCGGCCTCTCAGTCTCCTTCAAAGTTGGAGCCTCTTCCTAATGTGACCAGAGGAAAAAAAATCATTCCATTTGTTTAACTGATTTTCATTGAATTATGTAGTTAGCACCAAGAATGCAACACACAAGGCATTGAAGAAGGTCCCTGCCCACATGGAAATACAGACTAATTGAGAGGGCATTCATTCATTACTTCCTTCAATAAACATTAGGTACTCACATGTGACAGGTACAGTGCTGGTATTAGGGATATAGCAGAAAAAAGGCCAAGTCCCTGCTATAAGTTGTAGAGCTTCCAGGCAAGTAAACAGACATTATTACACACTATGAGTATGGTAATGGAGGATGTGGGGCAGAGGGTGACTTGTGGGGTGGGGAGGCCGATTACTTCAGCAAGGATTATTGAGGAAAGTCTGTCCCAGGAGGTGAGATTTGCGGATGAGAACGAGCAAGTCCTGGGAAAAGCTGGGAGAACATTCAAGTTGGAGAGAACAGCCAAACGAAAGCCTGGACATGGGTGTGGGACAGGAAAGAAAACCAGGCAGGGAGTGAGGCTAGAGAAGAGGGAGGAGGACCAGGCTGGCCATGGTGAGGAGTTTACATTTTATTCTACAGGCAGTGAGAACAGGGAGGCGATTAGGATTTCCTGTAAAGATTATTGTGGATGCTGTGCACAGAATAAGTTGCAGGGGACACTAAGGGGAGCCTGGAGGCTCATTAGAAGGTGTTTACAGTAGAGGCCAAGAGATGGTGGTGGCTTGTGCAGAGGTGGGGGCAGTAGAGACAGAGAGAAATATAAAGACTCAAGGGGCACCTGGGTGGCTCAATCGGTTAAGCATCCGATCTCGGCCCACGTCATGATTTCACAGTTTGTGAGTTCAAGCCCCACATTGGGCTCTCTGCTGTCATCCCAGAGCCCCCTTTGGCTCTTCTGTCCCCCTCTCTCTCTGCCCCTCACTCTCTCTCACTCTTTGTCTCTCTCAAAAATAAATAAACATAAAAAAGTCTTTTAAAAAACTGAAAAAAGAAAGATTTGAGAGGTATTTTGGAGGTAGAGTTGACTAGACAAGTGATGGGCTAAGTGTAGGGAGTGACAGAAAGAGAGGAAGCAAGGATAACTTCCAGGTCATTGCTTAACCCCTAGATAGATGCCACTAAACAAATAACAACCAACTGATCACTTACAGTAGTGATAGATGTGGGAAGGGGAAAGATGTTTTGAAGGGGAAAACCGGGGTCTTTGGCAGCTGGCACTGACCCCATCTGAGGAGTCAGCTGTGGTCACAATGATGAGATGAGGGCTAAAGTGTTTCAAATTAGCCAGATCTTATTTCTGCTCAGTCAGATAAGCACAAAAATATGAGGGAGACTGTGGAAATGTGGCCCCACACATACATATGTGAACTCTTGCTCAAAACAAAGTAAACCGTGTTTGACAAGGAAATTCACCAAGCTTGTAATATTTAGTGATTTATAAAAACTTATGTGAAGGGAGGGGCGCCTGGGTGGCTCAGTCAGTTGAGCGTCTGACTTTGGCTCAGGTCATGATCTCGCGGTCCGTGAGTTCGAGCCCCGCGTCGGGCTCTGTGCTGACAGCTCAGAGCCTGGAGCCTGTTTCAGATTCTATGTCTCCCTCTCTCTCTGACCCTCCCCCATTCACGTTCTGTCTCTCTCTGTCTCAAAAATAAATAAACATTAAAAAAAAATTATAAAAACTTATGTTAAGGGATATTTTTCTCTAATTTATTAGACAAATATGAGTATCTTATGGCTTTATTCTTCTTTGCTTCCTTTCAGTGTATAAAAACACCTTTAGAAAACTGATGGCAGGTTCTTCAGTTTCACAGCACTTAGGAGTGAGGTGGGCACCCAAGGGGCACACAGAGTGGATGCGCTCCCAAAGGCAGAGCTCAGGCTCTGCTGCCAGTGGACCCTGCTGTGGGGCCTGGAAAATAAGCCCCTGCAATCAGAAGTAATGAGATTCTTCCTCTTCCAGATGCGGGTATTCGGATTCCTGTTGGACACGTGGACTACTTCGTCAATGGAGGCCAAGACCAACCTGGCTGTCCCACCTTCATTCATGCAGGTCAGAAAGCCAGAGAGAGTTGGGGTTTGGCTGCCCCAGAGGCTGGAATTCACCAGTAGCCTTTATGTTGAGTCAGCCAGTGTGGAACACAGGGGGGTCTTCCTTCTCATGTCCTTTGTTATGCCCCATAATGCCTTTCCCAGCACTTATTGAATGGATGTCTTTGGAGCCCAGGAATTCCGGGGGAGGAGTGCCTGAAATTAAAAGCGTACACCATACTTCTCCTGGCCTACCCACTTTTTAAGCCCTGCAGTGATATATCATCACTTAAGCCAATAAACCCTATTTTTCCTGGGCCCTGATTTGTGGCAGGTCCACACTAGCTGCATCCTCTGCAGAGCTTAGTTGTGGTAGAAGGAGAACGACACGCCCAAAGCTGGCTAGCTGAAGGTTCAATTCACTGATGACTTACTAAATTTGACAGTTCCCCAAAATTGTTTTTAAGATAATCTTGAGTGCATTCAATAAATATACATTTCTTGGGTGCCCAGGTGGCTCAGTTAGTTAAGCATCTGACTCTTGTTTTCGATTTGGGTCATGATCTCACAGTTTGTGAGTTCAGGCCCTGTGTCGGGCTCTGCGTTGGCAGTGCAGAGCCTGCTTGGGATTCTCTCTCTCCCTCTCTCTGTCCTCCCTTGCCCTCTCTTCCTCTCAAAATAAATGAACTTAATAAAAAAATGTACAGTTTCTTTTCTAAATACACAATTGATGCTTGCACAATGTGAATTTGAACTGTACGAGTCCACTTATACATGGATTTTTTGATACAGTACAGTACTGTAAATGTATTTTCTCTTCCTTGTGATTTTTTTCAACATTTTCTTTTCTCTAGCTTACTTTACTGTAAGAATACAGTATTACACTTACACCAAATATGTGTTAATCAACTGTTCATGTTATTAGTTCATGTTATTGTTCTGGTCAACAATAGGCTATTAATAATTAAGTTCAAGGGTCAATGTATTCTTCTAGAATGTTCTTTTTTTTTTTATTTTTTTTTACATTTATTTATCTTTTGAGAGACATAGACAGAGCACAAGTTGGGGAGGGGCAGAGAGAGAAGGAGACACAGAATCCAAAGCTGGCTCCAGGCTCTGAGCTGTCAGCACAGAGCCCGACATGGGGCTCGAACTCACAAACTGTGAGATCATGACCTGAGCCAAAGTCAGACGTTTAACCGACTGAGCCACCCAGGCGCCCCTAGAATGTTCTTTTTGAATTCATTCTTCTTAGCATTATTTTAAATAATATTAAATTTGTCAAAAGCTAAGGACCAAGGGTTGTTTAATCTTCTCACATTCTTCTTATGAACATAGCCAACCTATCAGCATTTCTTACAGGAATTTTATCCTGATTTCTGATTACTATGTTTTTAGTCTTTTCTTGCCTTACCAAATTTTTGACACTTTAAGGATTCTTTTGACAATTTTATTGAATAATCCCTAATCTAATTTACTAAATTCATTGATTATCCAAAAACATGTTTCCTTTCACAATTTGTAGATTTTACAACTTTTTTTTTTTTACCAGATGGGATAGTTTGGTTTTAATGGCTTTTGAATATTTCTGTGACATTTCAGCGGCCACTTTTTATTTTTCTTCATAACACAATTTGAAAAGGGTTTAGTTTGTATCCCCCACCTCCCTGTTGCAGCTGGAAGGAGCTTGCCCATAGAGAGTGTGCCAGCCATGGGAAAAAGAGAGTTGACACACAGCTCAGATGTGGTTACTGGTCCCAGAGTGGGGGTCCCAAGGTGAAGGGGGACTCTGAAGACCTCAGAACACTAGAGCTGACTCCCTTGATTGTCTCATTGCTGGGATGAGTATCATGAGGTTATAAAAAATTTTGTTGGGTGTTGATGAAGAAAGTAAAATGTGTAGACAGATATTCATTGTGAGAAGTGGGTAAAGATCACCAATTGTCTGAAAGCTCCCATTTTCTGAAAGAGAGTTTGATGATCATGGAAGAATGGGTCTCAAATTAAACAATTTTTTTGATAGATTAAGCTTAGGTATCTCTGGAAAAGGAAAAGGAAGAAAGCAGTAGCCATGTCCATTAACATTAAAAAATGTGGCTCAAGAGACATCCCATGTATTTGTAGCCTGCTGGAATATAAAATTCAATAGAGTTATAATAAGTAGCATGGAGGGATTTTCATTTGTCTTAAACTAAAACCTTGGTTGTGTTTTTTACCCTGTTAAGGTTACAGTTACCTGATCTGTGATCACATGAGGGCCGTGTACCTCTACATCAGTGCCCTGGAGAATTCCTGTCCATTGATGGCCTTTCCCTGTGCCAACTACAAGGCCTTTCTTGCTGGAAAATGTCTGGATTGTTTTAACCCCTTTCTGCTTTCCTGCCCAAGGATTGGTAAATGCCACCCCTTTGACTTCCTTTGACAATTTGGGGAAAGTTCAAGTCTTGCTAGTTGTCACCTCTTTAAGTCCTGCTCTTCTGTGGTCAATAAGTCTATCCAACTACAGTAAGGAAATTCACCAATGAAATGTTCAGCCTGTTCCCACCTGGAGGATGTCATTTGGCCTTCCACATCCCACCTCTTGCCACCCATGCTGTTGCCTGATACTCTACTTGCTCTGCACACACCCTTCACACACAGCCCCTTGTCTGCAAGTCCAGGCAAAGGACACTTTATAAACATTGGTAGAATTCAGAACTGCTGCCCCCACTCCCAGACCAGATGCTTGCCATAGGTCTTTCTAGCTAGGCCAGCCATTCTCCAATTCCTGATAGATTCTAAATCAAGGTGTTGTGGGGAATCCCCATGAGTGGCACATATGGCCCCCTTTAGGGGTTTGAGGCTGTGGTGACCATGTGCCAGCTGGAGGGCTGCCTAATTGCTGGCTGGCTTGGGCACATTGCTGGATGACCCAGGCTAGTCTGGGGAGAGGGGCTGGGGAAAGGCTGAGGGATCTGACCTCAATTCACCCTGTGCAGGTCATTGCTGAGAACATCCTAGGGTTCTCCAAGATGAAGCGTTTCAGGAAGAACTCTGGGGGAGTATAAACGGTTCCTTTCTCGCCCTCATTCTCCCACTTCCCACCCCTAGCTGCTACTCAGAACCGCAGCTTGACAAAATGTTAAAGTAGATGTAGCTTCCCACAATAAAGCAAATCAACATTACTTCCTACTCATTGTGCATATGCCACAATTTCCCCCAAATGTGATGGACCAGCCACCTCACACTTTCCCCAGCCTCAGCTCTCACTACACTTTCCCTGGCACTGAACACCCCAGGGATGTTCATGTTTCATGTTTCCTCACCCTGTATGCCTTTGTCCAAACTGTACTCCCTGCTTGTTATGCCCTTCCTTAACTTGTCAACCACTATTCTTCAGGTCAAACGCTTTCCGTGCTTTGTCTGTGAAGGATATAAATGCCGTTAAAACAACTGTCTAATAGATTATTTTACAAATTGGAGATCTAATTTCAAATTTCTGATACATACCTCCTGAGAATGGGCCAGATGATCTTAAAAAATGTGCTTCCTGTGTATTTGCGTGTTTATCTTTGACTGGACTGAACTGTATGTATCCTGGGACCCACCTTAGGGCATGACATATAATGAGCATACAGTGTAGTTGTTTGTAGAATGAATGGGTGTGCGAATTAATCAATATGTGGTTGCGTGCCATGGGACACTGAAATGGCCTCCTCAGGGGTCTTGTTTTTTGTCTTTGCCTCTGTATTTCCAGGGCTGATGGAACAAAGTGGTGTTAAGATACAGCCGCTTCCCAAGGAAGTGAAAGTGTACCTCCGGACTACTTCCATGGCTCCGTACTGTGGTGAGTGGGGGGTTTGTGTGTAGCTCAGGTATGCTACTGTGCTGTTCTGCAGATTCCAGGGCTCTGGCGTGGGCTGTGTCTAGCATGGCATGGGAGCTCAGGCGTGAGGTGAAGGACAGGGGCAAAGATGTCATAGGAGGGGTGAGGGGCAGCAGCTACTGGTCTTAGACCCTAAACTTTCAGAGCTAGTCCAACCCATGCTCTACTGCAGATTATCAGGTATCTTGCTGTGTATATACTTATCCTAGTTCCTCCCCACCTCGCTTCAGTGTGGGTTCTCTATAATGTGGTTTTTGGGAGCACCCTCTGGCTTCATCCTTCCCACATACTTTTTTTCACCCCCTCCTCGATGCCCATCTTATGTGTCTCCTACCCTGGCAGCCCTGTCAGGTCAGGGTCTCTAAGGAATGTTGAACCTTGCTCTCTACTCTACTTCCCCTACATACACATACTCCAAGTATTTACTGTTGCTCCTAACCACTATGCTTCACTGAAGCTAAGATACCAGTAAAAGATGTTAAATGTGAGAGAAAAATGTGTCTTAAATTCTATGAAATATTACAGGTTGAAGCATCATTTTCTCCTATGCTGTTTGCGTCTTAAGTAGAGTGATTATACTTCCTTAGTGCTTGTTATCATAGGATCTTGTCTGGTTTATTGTGTGTATAGGATAAAAGTATGCTGGTTAGGATGATAAATTGTACATCCAAATTAACTCTGATATTCTGATCAGCTTGTGTCTGGTTGGTGGAGGGATCTTTCTTTATGGCCATTCCTTCCTTGGACCAGAACTCCTGTTGCCATGTGATATGGAGCCCAAAGTTCAGATTGTGGTCATGCAGACTTGGATTTGAATGTCAGCTTCTCCACCTACCAGATGTGTCATCAGAAGCAAGTTACTTAACCTGGCTGAACTCTCCATCCTTATGTAGAAAATGGGAACAACAACAGTATCTACTTTAAAGAATCAATTGTGAGGGTAAAATAAAATAGTATACAGGAAGTTGCTAGCACAGTGACTGGAGCTTGATAAGTGATAATTCCCTTCCTTTTATCATTCAGAGAACTGGGGGAGACTAGATGCGGGTGTTTATCATTCTAGAGAGAATTCATGGCTACCTCTTAGGAACAAGTGGATTATAAGAGTCGACTGTGGGCTTCTCACATATATCTGCTCATTTGACAACCCCGCTCTAGTTAGCTGTGAGGACGGGGAGGTTCTGAGAGATTAAGCCTTGTGCCCAAGGCTACACAGTGGTGTGGAAAAGGCAGAATTCAACTCAGGTCTTCTGACTCCAAAATCTATATTCTTTCCATGTCACCACCTGCCTCCACACTGGCTTCTTTGCCTCTGCTTCTGAGAATCTGCTCTTTACAACCATATTTCTTGGATCCTCTTCTGTCCTCACCGCCCCCTCCAGAGGTCAGCCTGGGGGAGGATGCTTTGTCCAGTGGTGGAGGCAGCGATGCCAGGACCAGATGTCCAGTTTTACTTCCAGTTCTGGGACAGCTTCACAGCAACCTGAACTGGCTCCTTCCTGTCTGCGCAGCTGGGGACACACATGGCAGGGAGCCTGGGGCACACTTGAGGCTAGAGGCATTTCAAAGTCCCTGCTGAGGCAGACTCACATAGCTATAATTTTTCTGACTGTTTCGTATTTGTTGTGAGACTCCCTCTCCATGCCCCAGAAGCATGGCCCTGTCTGTTCAAAAACCTCACAGAGCTACAGAAAGAAATAAGCCAGCCTGAGTACCTGCTTTTCTGCATGCTCTGCGCCTTGCAATTCTGAGCTTTTTGTTCTGAGCACTGAAGCTGGGACTCTCCTCTACCTGGAGGGATAGGCCGTCCACTTGGTAGTTTGGGTAGTACCAACGGCCTGCAGCTCCTGCTCTCACCCACTCCCAGGCCCCACGCACTGGGTGCCCATCGCCCCGCTCGGCCTGCCTGGGTCTCAGCAGTGTTCAACAGGACAGTGGTCACCCCTGACCCCTGCCATGCACCAGCAGGGCAGAGAACCTTCTCCAAATAGTTTTTCTATTGTTTTCAACACTATTGTTGAAAACAAATAGTGTTTCTATTGTTTCTAGATAGTTTTTCTAACAGTATTACTTTTCCCTTTATAGAACAGTGTTTCACACAAAGTGCTTTCTCTCCATTACCTCATTTAATCCTTGCCAATGTTGTGTGAGGTGATATCGAGGGTTGTAGATGAAGGAGCCAAGACACAGAGAGGTTCAGTGACTTAGGGAAAGGAAACAGCGAGTAAGCAGCGGGGCCAGGCCTTGGATCCAGATCTCCTGATCAACCATCCAGGGCTCTGTCTGCTGCCTCCCATGTCTGACTCCTGCACCGGAGATTGGATTCTGCTACTGATTCCCACCCATCCAGTGTTAGTAGACCTGACCCTCTTGGGGCTTCCAGATAATATAAAGAGAGAACCAGAACTTTAGGAAACTTTCTTAATGGGTGAGATCTGCTGGCAAAGGAAGAAGTGGTATAATATGTAAAAGTAAGCCCTGAGAATTCAATTCCTAAAGCTTATGTAATTTAGCTTTTTTTCCAGATTTCAGTTACCCACTACAATTTAGCTCTTGCCCATTATCTTAACAGTCTGCATCCTCTAGCAAACAACTGAGAAAGAGACAGAAGGGGCATGGCATTGGATGTGTTCCTCTGTCGAGAGGAAGCATACGGTGCTCTCTTTTCTTCCATGTGGGTTCTTGGCATCTTAGCACCTGTCAGTGAGTCTTGTTACCAACTCCATTAGCCCAGATGGATCATAGCACTCCTCCAGCTTAGTGTGAGTCTACCAAAATCCACTTGATGTCCCCCCAATATTTGCCTTTAAAACATGACAAATGAAAAAGTACAAGTAGGGCAGAAGTGAAGAATTGCCTGTCCAGCTATGTCCCGATCACCAAAGAAGTCTGTGGAAATGCCCCAAGACTAAAGATACTGCAAAATGCCACCAGATGGGTCTCCCCCTTAATAAGGAAAGGATAGGAGGTTAGGGAAGCTGTAATTCTTAACTTCTCTTGCCAGAGAGACAGCAGGGGCATCACCATGAGCCAGGCTCCTCGTCTGGTTTATGTCAATGACGCAAGTTTGAGAGCCCCAGGATCGATGCTGCCTGGGAGGGTGGAGATGCCATACAGGCACCCAGCTGCCACAGAGAGGGAAATAGTCATCTCCTACACACAAGTGGGCTCCCTGACACTGTGCATATGGAGGGTTATTTTAGGAGTTAATTATTTAGTATAAGAAAGATCCTTTTCAGTTCTTTTAAAATCACACCACCGAGATAATATCATCAAGCAGGGAGGAGTGGGACATTCTAGCATTATAGGTAATAATAAAAACTAACATGTATTGAATGCTTCCTAGGCACAGACACTGTCTAAGGACTTTTGTATTAACTCATTTAACTCTCATTCAGACCCATTTTTATTATCCCCAATTTACAATGAGGCAGCTAAGGATCTGGGATGACAGATAATCTGCTGCTAGTCACACGGCTGTTAAGAGGTAGATCTCAGATCCCTGCACTGCTGCTCTCCGGGGCTTTTTGCATGTTGCACCCACTGACCTCTGGCCCAGGCATCTGCTCTGCTTTGGTTTCCCAGTGCATCACAGCCTCGTGGAGTTTTACTTGCAGGAGCCAAGAAAGAAGGATACCTGTATCTCCATCACCTTCCTTAGCAGCAATGTTACTTCCTCGGTCGAGATCACCATGTACGTAAGTGTCCCGCGTTACATGCACACATCTCCCACAACAGGCCCTGTGCGATCACTGATGGGTGACCCGAGCCCGCTGGGCTGGAGGTGGGGGTGAGGGCAGCACCTACTACAGATGCACCCCACAGACACATGGTGGGCAACTGTCCCAGGTTCAGGATCAGTACTGGGTCCAAGGATAGTGTATTCAGACAACAGCAGCTGAAGCAGGCAGACAGCAGTCATGGGATGTCTCAAAAAGTGGTGAGAACAAAGTAATTGGGTCCCTGATAGGAAACAGTAGTCAGGACTCCAGGAAGGCCACGTCAGGGATGTCAGCAAGTAGGAGGACCTCAGCCACTAGCCCAGGGAGGGCTGGCCAGAGACTGCAAAGCATCTACTCTTGGAAAGTAGGGGCGGTACTAGGTGAGTTAGTAGAACTGAATCACAGGCAGAGGGTCAGTTAGCAAATGAGTACAAGGTGAGGCCAGCAGGGCTTGATGCCAGGTGGTGCCAATCTCTGAAACTGGGCTGAGCATTTCCTTCCCTTATAAGGTCACATCTGGGCGTAGCGGCTGGCAGGACCACACTTGAGGTGGGAAGACAGAGAACTTCACCTACAGGAAGGCTCAGGCCTGGCAGGGGACAGGAACTCAGCAGCAGTGGTGCATGTTTCTTTAAAAAGCAATTGGGGGGCGCCTGGGTGGCGCAGTCGGTTAAGCGTCCGAC